TAAAGAAAATTTGTGCTTAAATGAAGCCAGCAGTGTCTTTACCAACCCAGCTTTTAAATGGGGTTGTAAGGTTTATTTGGGGAAAAAGGTTCACATAATAAAATTTAAACATACATGAAACCCCTATGATCTCCATGGGGAAGGGGGAACAGTTTTTCTTCCTCTGAAGTCATCCCGGTTGTAAAGGCGACCAAAAAACCCGGGGAAAAAACAAGGCTAGAAACCCCCTTTTCCTGAAAAATTACTAAATTTAAGAGAAACTTTCTTTTTCTTTTGGGGCCAACCCTGCCTTGGGGGGATACGGCCGGTGTTGAAAGAAAGAAAGAATTAACCTATGTGAAAATTTACCTGGGATAACACAAAAAAAACCAAAGTAAACTTATTTCCATTGGGGTGCCATGGCGGGTCGACGGGGGCGTTGGTTTGGGTTGATAGGGTGCTTGTGGCTTGACCCAACAGGGGGGCCCCGGGTTTGGGTTCACGGGTGCCGTACTTGATCAACAGGGGCTCGGGGCCCCTTGGGTTGACAGGGTGCTTCTAGTTTTAAATAAACAGGGTGCCGTGGTTTGGTTGACGGGGAGCTCATGTAGCCCGCCTGTCTGTCAAAAACCCCACCCTAGCCGTCGTCTGACTAGCTCATATTTTTGCGGCAATTTTTGGTGCTACCCTCTTTTAGGGTCACTCAGGTCAGGGGAGGCTGAGCCCATCCGCTCTCACTCCCAGGGCCGACCGACTTGATAGCACAAGGGTTCCCCCCCCACCCGGGCTGGGGCGTCACCCCTCACCTGGGCCCTTGTGTACCACCCTACCCCAAATTTAAAACCAAAATAGTCCCCGGGCCCTATCATTGCCTTTCCTAGCTACCTTTATCGGCACAAAAACCCGGGTTTAGCAGTAAGAACAAACAAAAAAAAACCATGCTTTTATCAACAAGGGGCTCCGGGGGGCCCTTTGGGTTTAAAAGGGTTCGCAAGGCTTGGGTTACAGGGGACGTGGGGGGTTGGTTGACAGGGGGCTTTTAGCTTGATCAACAGGGCCTCCCTGGGTTTTGGGTTACAGGGTCCGTTCTTTTTATCAACAGGGTTCTCGTGGCTTGGTTGACAGGTTTCTTTTGGCTTGGTTACAGGGTGCTTGTGGCTTTTTATCAATATGGGGGCTTGTGGCTTGGTTGACAGGGGCTTTTTGGCTTGATCAAAAAAGGTGCTCATGGCTTTGGGTTTACAGGGGGCTCGTGGGTTGGGTTTACAGGGGGCTTGTAGCTTGGGTCAACAGGGGGCCCAAAGGCTTTTGGGTTTACAGGGTCTTTTGGGGTTGAACAACATTGGGGCTCGGGGGCTTTGGTTTTAAAGGGTGTTGGCTTGGGTTTTAAAGGGGCTTGTGGCTTTATCAACAGGGTGCTCCTGGCTTGGTTTACAGGGGCTTGTGGCTTTTTCAACAGGGTGCAAAATGGGGTTTGGGTTACAGGGGGCTTTAGCTTGGGTCTACAGGGGGCTCGGGCTTTTGACAGGGTGCTTTTGGCTTGATCCCAAAAGGGTGTTTTGTGGCTTGGGTTACAGGGGGGTTTCCCGGGTTTTTGGTTTACAGGGTGCACAAGGGTTTGGGGGACAGGGTGCTTGTAGCTTTATCAACAGGGTGCTTTGGGCTTGGGTTTACAGGGGGCTTGGGGCTTTATCCAGGGTCTCGTGGCTTGACTGACAGGGTCCCCCAAAGGCTTTGGTTTTTACAGGGTGCAAAGTGGGGTTTTTTGACAAAGGGGGCCCTTTTAGCTTGATCAACAGGGTGCCGTGGGGGTTGGGTTTACCGAGGGTTTCTTGTGGCTTGATCAAAAAGGGGGCCGTGGGTTGGTTGAAAAGGGGGCTTGTGGCTTGATAAAAAGGGTTTTTTTCATTTCTTGGTTGACAGGGTGCAAGGTTTGGGTTTACGGGTGCACATGGCTTGGTTGACAGGGTGCTTTTAGCTTGAAACAACAGGGTGCTCGTGGCCCTTGGGTTTACAGGGTGGCCTTTGGGTTGGGGTTTACGGGGGCATGTGGCTTGGTTGACCGGGTGCTTGTAGCTTGATCAACAGGGGGCTGTGGGTTGGTTTACAGGGTGGGTTTTTGGGTTGATCAAAAAGGGGGGCTTTGTGGCCTTTTGGTTTACAGGGTTCTTGTGACTTGATCAACGGGGGGTTTTGTGGGGTTTTGGTTTTACAGGGTGCTTGTTGGGTTGATCAAAAGGGTGTTCGGGCTTGGTTTTTACAGGGTGGGGGCATGGTTTGGGGTTTTTAGGGTGCGCATGGCTTGGTTGAAAAGGGTTTCACGTGGCTTGGTTGACAGGGTGCTTGACTTTTATAACAGGGTTTCCGTGGCTTGGTTTTACAGGGGGCTTTTTGGCTTGATCAAAAAGGGGGCTCGTGGCTTGGTTGACCCGGGGGCTTTTGGCTTTATCAAAGGGTTCTCAGGCTTGGATGATAGGGTGCTTTGGGGGACAGGAGACTTTGGGGTTGGGGACTGGGGGGGTGGGGCTTGGGGACTGGGGGTTGTGGCTTGGTGGACCCGGGGGGGTTTTGGCTTTTGGGGGCAGGGTGCTTTGGGGTCAAATTGGTAGCATCCTTAGGTCACACTGAGGGGCCCGGGATTTCTCCCCCGTAAAAGATGGAAATGTTTGGGGATGTTTCCTTACACTTTTTTTGTCCCTTTCACCTACATAAAAGGTACCTGGTGGCCCAGTCGACTTTGTGGGTTTCATCCCCGGGAGAGAACATAAAAAAAAAAAGCCTTAGCAAAATAACAACATAAAATTGGAATTTTCAACTTAAGTTTAATTAAAAGGAAAAAACCCTAAAACGGCACATTAAATTTGAATTTTTACTGTTTGGGAAAAAACAGGTAAAACCCTCCCTTAATCTGGCATCCCTGGACCCCGAAGTGTGCCGGGTTTTCAAAAGTGGTTAGGTTTGAATACACTTAAATTTAACCCATCAACGAGACCCATTTTTTGATTTACAAATGGGAAAACAAAAACCGACGGTTTGGGAATAAACACAGGCAACATTTTGGCAACTTTTTCCGAAAAGTTTTTTGCCTACCCAGAAAGGGTTTTTTCAGTCGAGGGACAGAAACTAGGCGGGAGCTAGAAAATGTGAAGAAAGAGTAATCAATTTCCCTCAAACCCCTTTAAGTCGTAGATTTTAGGGGTTTTCAGCCCTCAGCCGAAAGTTCCCGTTCCAAAGTCTGTCGCCTTTATCTTCAATAGGTTTTCCCGACTTTGGAACAAAAATTCTCCAGGGTGAGGGACTGACAACCCAAACTTTCGACTTCAAGGTTTATGGGCTGATTACACTTTTTTCACCCCTCTACGCCCCGCCTAGGTTTTTTGTACTCGACTGAAGAAGCCTCTGTGTAGGGGGAAAAATTTCGGGAAAAAAGTTTCCTAAATGTTGCCCATGTGTCTATCTAAACCCGAGACTATTTCTGCATATCTTCCCATTTTCATTTTCCCCTTTCCCTCCAACCGGGCCAGTGTGGGTTTACAACCAACGGGACAATTTTTGAGGGCAGTATAATGGGTGAAAAATTTTAAATTATTCTAGCGAAATTAGTGCCGGAAATTTCGGTGGAACCCAAAAAATATTGCCGGATTTGTGAAGGCCGACCCCGTAAATTTAAATTTTTTTGGGACATTTTTGGGGAGTTTTTGGGAAAAAATAACATTAAAACCCAATTTTACATTGAATCAAAATCGCACTAAAACTAGACGTGATGTATTTAAATTGTGCCTCCCGACAGCTTGTTTTTTTGTACACCCGAACTTTATCCTTAAGGCAGCGCAAAAAAAAAAAAAAAAAAGAATTAAAGGTCCCCAATGGGACTTTTTCCAGACCCCCAATTGCCCCAGTTTTTTACTTTAACAAAAAAATAAATTACATCGTTTTTTAAAAATTTAGGGGGTTAACCAAAAACCAAAGTTTTTTCAAAACATAAAGGATACAAAACCCAGCCCCAAAAAAAAACCCCCCTTTTAGTGGGAGTGAAACCATCAAAACTGGCTGATACTGATACCATCCCAAAAAAAGGCAGATTCCCCATAAAATCAAAAAACCCCCCCAAAAATCGATACCATCAAAAATGGCAGATTTCCCATACCAACAAAACCGGCAAATATCGAACCATCAAACTGGGAAATACGATACCATCAAAAATAGCAAATATCGATACCAACAAAACGGCAAAAAACTGATACCATCGAACCAGCAAATCGATACCATCAAAACTTGGGAAATCTGATACCATCAGAACCCAGCAAATATCGATACCCCAAAAAAAGGCCCAAAAACTGATACCAAAAAACTAGCAAATATCGATACCCTCAAAAATGGGAGATTCCCGAAACCATCAGAACTGACAAATACTGATACCATCAGAACTGGCAAATATCGATACCATCAAAACTGGTGAATGCCCACTGATACTGATACCAATACCATCAAAACCCGCCAATACCACTGATACTCTGTCACAACACTGTCATATATTATAATTTCTTCATATAGTTAATGCAATAAAATATTTAGCTACAGACTTAAAAAAAATTATTATTATCTTATTACCAATAAAATAAATGACACAATTATGTTGAAATTATTGAATAATAATAATAATAAATAATAGTAATAAAATAATAAATAGTAATATATAAATACATTAATAATAATAATAATAATAATAATAATAATAATAATAATAATAATAATAATAATAATAATAATAATAATAATAAGCGCCAAACCCGTAGGGAATCTTACTGGTGTAAAATATTCATTTATAGGTAGTATGTGGATAGATTCTGAACACAGACTGGCTTTACTGGGTTATCCTGGCTTATTATCCCTCTAGGATCAATAATCTGGATAATTTTATTATCCTTGACTTCCAAAACGAAAATACTGAAGTCAAAATATAAATCTCTAATATATTGCCTATAAAACACCTATTTAACCACCTTTATGGGATTAATTACCATTATACACCTTATCTATATATTTATTGTAACAGTTATGGGATATATTAAGTCCATAGTGCACCTGACAACAATATTACGAAGTCAAAAACCCAAAATTAAAAGAAAATTAGGACACTCACAAGTGTTGTTGTTGTTGTTGTTGTTGTTGGTTTATAAGGGCCATTGACTGCTGAAGCCGTCAATGGCCCTTATTACTCTAGGTAATCAGGATTAATCTTATCTTATCTTGTTATCTATGATAAGATTTCGTTCTGATTTTTATCCCTGGAGGGTTATCCACCCAGGATAACCCCTGAAAGTCAGTGCGTCATCAAGGACTGTCTGTCTTATTTCCATTGTGGTCCTCATCGTGTCCCCCAGGATGCCACCCACACCAGTCCACTAACACCTGGGTACCTACTTGCTGCTAGGTGAACAGGACAACAGGTGTAAGGAAACGCGTCGAAATGTCTCCACCCAGCCGGGAATCGAACCCGGGGCCTCCGTGTGTGAAGTGAGAACTTTGCCAGCCAGCCATACTTTATTTCATAAACCCGTACGATTATGCAGCGCCTGTGGGAGGATGTGGAAGGTATTCAGGGAACCGGAGCACAGATCCAATTCCCTTGATCAAGAGCCCCTCATCGGCGTCAAGGAACCTTCCTTGAGGGGAGCCGTACCGGAGATTCGAACTCAGAACCTCAGTGTGTGAGCTGAGTGTGCTAGCGATCGAGCTATGGGACAACTTGTCTTATTTCCATCAGGGTCCGTGACTTATTTCCTGGTACGGAGAAGATATATTACCCAAAGCTGAGCGGTGCCCCGTGGCCTGGTTTTACCTGGAGTTTACCTGGAGAGAGTTCCGGGGGTCAACGCCCCCGCGGCCCGGTCTGAGACCAGGCCTCCTGGTGGATCAGAGCCTGATCAACCAGGCTGTTGCTGCTGGCTGCACGCAAACCAACATACGAGCCACAGCCCGGCTGATCCGGAACTGACTTTAGGTGCTTGTCCAGTGCCAGCTTGAAGACTGCCAGGGGTCTGTTGGTAATCCCCCTTATGTGTGCTGGGAGGCAGTTGAACAGTCTCGGGCCCCTGACACTTATTGTATGGTCTCTTAACGTGCTAGTGACACCCCTGCTTTTCATTGGGGGGATGGTGCATCGTCTGCCAAGTCTTTTGCTTTCGTAGTGAGTGATTTTCGTGTGCAAGTTCGGTACTAGTCCCTCTAGGATTTTCCTGGTGGCAAAACCTCTCGTTTCACACGGTTAGGGTTCGGGTTAGATTCCCGGCGATGGGGTGGCAACATTGGACGTGTTTCCTTACACCGGTTGTCTATGTTCACCCACCAGTAAAATAGGTGCCTGGGTGTTAGTGGACTGATGTGGGTCACATCCTGGGTGTTAGTGGACTGGTGTGGGTCACATCCTGGGTGTTAGTGGACTGGTGTGGGTCACATCCTGGGTGTTAGTGGACTGGTGTGGGTCACATCCTGGGTGTTAGTGGACTGGTGTGGGTCACATCCTGGGTGTTAGTGGACTGGTGTGGGTCACATCCTGGGTGTTAGTGGACTGGTGTGGGTCACATCCTGGGTGTTAGTGGACTGGTGTGGGTCACATCCTGGGTGTTAGTGGACTGGTGTGGGTCACATCCTGGGACAAAACTGACCTAATTTGCGGGAAATGCTCAGCATAGCAAGTGGCTTTCTATATAGTAGTATGTCACTGATGTCAGCTATGGTCTGTATAAGTTGTACTTGGAGTTTACCTGGAGAGAGTTCCGGGGGTCAACGCCCCCGCGGCCCGGTCTGTGACCAGGCCTCCTGGTGGATCAGTGCTTGATCAACCAGGCTGTTACTACTGGCTGCATGCAATCCAACGTACGAGCCACAGACCGGCTGGTCAGGTACCGACTTTAGGTGCTTGTCCAGTGCCTGCTTGAAGACAGCCAGGGGTCTATTGGTAACCCCCCTTATGTATGCTGGGAGGTATTTGAACAGTCTTGGGCCCCTGACACTTACTGTATTGTCTCTTAACGTGCTAGTGACACCCCTGCTTTTCATTGGGGGGATGTTGCATCGTCTGCCAAGTCTTTTGCTTTCGCTGTGAATGATTTTCATGTGCAAGTTTGGTACTAGTCCCTCTAGGATTTTCCAGGTGTATATAATCATGTATCTCTCCCGCCTGCGTTCCAGGGAATACAGGTTTAGGAACCTCAAGTGCTCCCAGTAATTGAGGTGTTTTATCTCCGTTATGCGCGCCGTGAAGGTTCTCTGTACATTTTCTAGGTCAGCAATTTCACCTACCTTGAAAGGTGCTGTTAGTGTGCAGCAATATTCCAGCCTAGATAGAACAAGTGACCTGAAGAGTGTCATCATGGGCTTGGCATCCCTAGTTTTGAAGGTTCTCATTATCCATCCTGTCATTTTTCTAGCAGATGCGATTGATACAATGTTATGGTCCTTCAAGGTGAGATCCTCCGACATGATCACTCCCAGGTCTTTGACGTTAGTTTTTCACCCTATTGTGTGGCTGGAATTTGTTTTATACTCTGATGAAGTTTTAATTTCCTTATGTTTACCATATCGGAGTAATTGAAATTTCTCATCGTTGAACTTCATATTGTTTTCTGCAGCCCACTGAAAGATTTGTTTGATGTCCGCCTGGAGCCTTGCAGTGTCTGCAGATTCGGGTGTCATCTGCAAAGGAAGACACGGTGCTGTGGCTGACATCCTTGTCTATGTCAGTATGAGGATGAGAAACAAGATGGGAGCGAGTACTGTGCCTTGTGGAACACTGGGAGCGAGTACTGTGCCTTGTGGAACACTGGGAGCGAGTACTGTACCTTGTGGAACACTGGGAGCGAGTACTGTGCCTTGTGGAACACTGGAAGCGAGTACTGTGCCTTGTGGCACACTGGGAGCGAATACTGTGCCTTGCGGAACAGCTTTTCACCGTAGCCGCCTCAGACTTTACTCTGTTGACTACTACTCTTTGTGTTCTGTTTGTGAGGAAATTTTAGATCCATCTACCAACTTTTCCTGTTATTCCTTTAGCACGCATTTTGTTCCCCATTACACCATAGTCACACTTGTCGAAGGCTTTTGCAAATAACAAAAAAGGCATAATACCGTGATTGGAACGATACACAAATAACCCGCACATAGAAGAGAGGAGCTTACGACGACGTTTCGGTCCGACGTGGATCATTTACAAAGTCACACTAACGAGAGGGAACGAACGAACGAACAAGTTCGGGTAAGATCCCAAATGGGATGAGCGGGCAAGACGGGACAGACGAAGAATAGCTCTGGAGAGGAGTGTTCTTAGTCGTAGAAATAGAGCCAGGGCTTAACCCAGCAGGAAAGGCGATCGTGGGACAGATATTGAGAAGAGAAATTCAGGCTCTTCTGTTGGGACTCCGGTGGGGTGAGCGGGAAGGACGGGACAGGAGAAGATTAGCTCTAGAGAGGAGTGTAGAATGAGCCATGTCTTAACCTAAAAGCTAAGGCGAACGTGGGTCAGAGAATGAACATCGCAAGGTACTTGTCAGAGAATCCAAGGTTATATGTAAATAGGGTTAGGAGCAGGATCATACAAGGACTAGAAAAGGTTGTGTTGGTTTGTGGGTCTGCGAATGTCTTCGTCAAAGAGAGAGGTCCAGTAGTCATGTCGTGTCTCAAGTTTGTCTATCTGACTGTCTCTGAGCGTCTTCCAGTACAGATTCAGCGCAGGGATGTCTAATTGGGCATCGAGAGACTCGCTTGTGGCGAAGTCCTCCCATCTGACATCAAGCACCCAGCACAGCGCCTTGTTCCGGACACGCTGCAGTTTAAGTAAGTTCGTTTTAGCTGCAAGAGAGAGGGCTAGAGGAGAGTAAGTTATCAGAGGACGTATTAGGGATTTGTAGAGGTGTAGTTTGGTGCGTTGAGAGGCATGTTTCAGCTTGTAGAGGCCCGCAAGGGCCTTACTAGCTATTGCATGTCTTAAGTGAATGTGTCCGTGTAAACGAAGAAGGTAGTCAAGATTAACGCCAAGGACAGTGACAGATTGTGTGATGGGGATGTAAGATAAGATAAGATAAGATTTTGTTCGGATTTTTAACCCCGGAGGGTTAGCCACCCAGGATAACCCAAGAAAGTCAGTGCGTCATCGAGGACTGTCTAACTTATTTCCATTGGGGTCCTTAATCTTGTCCCCCAGGATGCGACCCACACCAGTCGACTAACACCCAGGTACCTATTTGCTGCTAGGTGAACAGGACAACAGGTGTAAGGAAACGTGTCGGAATGTTTCCACCCGCCGGGAATCGAACCCGGGCCCTCCGTGTGTGAAGCGGGAGCTTTAGCCACCAGGCCACCAGGCCACCCAAGTGCGGGTGTCAGCTGTTCTGAGCTCGACAGGTAATGGAGGATCAAGCTTCCTGTAGTTAAAATATGTAATGCTGGATTTAGCTGCATTGGTTTTGATCCTCCATTTTTGTTCTCAGATGGCTATCCTGTCGACCTCATTTTGTGTTTTGTGTGTGAGTATATCTATATTGGCGTGATTGATAAGTTGTGTAATGTCGTCTGCATAGGCTAGTGTGATGGAATTGTGGTATACAGGTGTTGCAATGTCGTTAGTGTATAAAATGTAGAGGGTAGGGGAGAGGACAGATCCCTGGGGTACTCCGGCATTTGGTGTGAAGTAGTCAGAGTAACAACCTTGTAATTTTATTCTCATGGTACGGCCGTCTAGGAAGTTGCAGAGGAGTTTACGAGTAGTGAGAGGCAGGTTAAAGTTAGTGCAGAGTTTGTACTTGAGCCCTTCGTGCCAGACAGTGTCAAAGGCTTTTTCAACGTCTTTTGCAACCAGGGCTGTCCTGTTTCTTTGTTTTGTGTTTATGTGGATGTAGTTGAGAATGATGTTAATGGCATCTTGTGTGGATCTGTGTGTTCTGAAGCCAAACTGGCCATCAGAAAGTAGAGAGTTGTGTTCCAGGTATCTGCGAAGGCGATGATTGGTGAGTTTTTCAAAGAGTTTACCTAAAGTTTCGAGGAGGCTGATAGGGCGATAGTTTCTAGGATCAGAGTGGTCTTTATTGGGTTTAGGAAGGAGGATAGCAGTAGCAGCTTTGATGAG